CAGACCAAACCAGAGTACCAGGGAGAAAGCACAAGTAGAGAACATGCAAACTCCACACATGAAGGCTGCAGCAGAGTTTGCAAGCTTCTTCCTGTGTGACAACAGAACCAGCTGCACCAAAATGCAGTTGATGGTGTAAAAATAGCCCTTGACCCAGACGTGGTCCAACAATAAAACACATTACGCCTCAAATGGAAAAAAAAAGTTTTAACTTATTTCAGGTGCAGTGTCAACAGAATCCTGATGAAGCACCTGCAGATAAACATAAAACGTTTTTCTTTTTTAAATTTTAACTTCAATATTTTGTTATGCGCTCTGCATAGAGCCTCATAGCATATTAATAAGACAAGGACAATGATGGAATGAGGCAGAGTCTTAAAAATAAAGAATGCTAATAGGAAATTTTATAAACAATTTATTGTTTCCTGGGATGCCCTTTCACAAACGGCCAGGACTGCTACCTGCATGAAAACATTCTTACCACAACTGGTGGAACTTTCATTCTTAGTTTTTTGCGAATTACTCAGATATAAACATAAAACAAGTCTGCTGTTATGTTTTATTTCTTGTTTTAGTCAACGCCAACATAAGGCCGTTATAAAGCCAGACTATGGATTTGTTGTTGCTAAAGCAAGCAGCAAAAGCACCTGTAATGTTCATTGGCCAAGTGATAATATGGTAGTTTGCTGTACATATCGTACTCCTTGCTGATGATTATTTCAGCTGACAGTACATATGCACCAGTGAAACAGCCACCAAGAAAAAAGCTGATCATGCTGTGCAGGGAACTTAATAACCTGTCCACCTCACTCAAATAGCTGCAGGTTTGGATTTCATATAAATCCTTTGTGAAATTTTAATTACAGCATCAAAGCTGTAATCTGCCCTCCGAGGGACAGAGTTATTATTGCAAAGTCCAACGGATGGTCAGAGCAGCAATTTTGAAGGAGAGTTCATTAACACCAGAGCTGTCATAATGAATCTTTCCATGCTAGCAACTGTGGATAAAAGGTGCCACACCACAGGTATGTTATTGTAATGGATTTTATCACCACTAGGGGCACTGTGCTGCAAACTTATCTTATACATATTTTTCTCTACCAATTTAAAATAAAACCTGATTCGAATAACCAATGAGGCGTCTAATATGAAGAGTGGAGGCGGTTCCCTCTTTACCGCTCTCAGTGGGATGGGTTCTACTCTCGGCTTCTGTTCAATTTTATCCCAGGAGTTGCTAGGCGACAGGAGGATCTTTACAGCACGTCCAGTTTGTGAAATGATGATACCCATGAATAAATTCTGCTGCTTTGTAACTTTTTTGCTTTTCAACCTGTTTTACTGTGGGTCAGTGAAATAGAAGAATATTATTAAAATAGACTTTTTCCCTCAGTCGTGTTATTGTTACTTTGTCCTGATGATCGATTAGGGGTTAGTTGTCTCAGCTCTATATAAGTTTGTGTGTGTCTACTTCATCAGCCTGTGATTAACTGGTGACCTGTCCAATAAATAATCTTCTCTTTGTATGGTTTGTATGTTTTTATTCAATAATTCTACTTTATCATTCGAAATAGCTTTCATCCAAAACAACATCAAGAAATTTCCACTCAAACTGAGTGCTGTTTCTTAGAAAACATCACCTCTGAGTCCATTCTCATTTCTGGTTTACCATCAGAACCTGAAAACATAGAAATTGTGGATTTATAATTTAGATGGAAACCATAGGTCCTAAAGAAACTTTGCACAAACCATAAAACATGAGACAGAAATCAACTGTTGATGAAATAATTTCTGAAGTTTTAACTCCCTCAGAACTGGAAACTTCACCTGGTTCTGAAATTAAGATTAACCCGATTTTACAACATGAACATGCTGTTCAAAATGTGTCTGCTGTAGATTGAATTTCTACCTCAACAGGGGAGTCTTCAGAAAACATTGAAAAAAGTGAACTTTTGGAACCTGTGCAAACAAAAGTTCCTTCTAAAAAGTCTCAAGGGAAAAAAATGGGACAGAAAGAATAATGTTTTCAGACCTCAGACTCTCTCCGACTGGGGAATACTACAAAATCTGTCATTTTCGGATCTGTTGAGTGACTTTGAGACAGAAAACTAGGTTATAGTCGTAACCTCAGTTCTCTGAAGAGCATCAATGAGATGCCTCATGGGATACGTCCCTCCACATTCTGTAAACGAACGTCAAGAAAGAGAACCAATTTGATGTCCTGAAAAACGATTTGACCTTTGAAATGGTTGGATCATTTAGCATCTCAGAGACAGAAGAACGACGGAGGCTTTGCTGGTGCTGAAATTCACCAATCTGAACCTGTGGTTCGTTCATGATGTTAGCGGTGCAACTCTACCAGTAGCTTCAGTGTGCATCGGATACAGCTGATGGCTACATCGCATCCCTAACCCTAACCAACCATTGTCGGACCATATTGACAGACGAGCTTCCTGACTTTCCTAAAAAACCCAAACTGTTGACAATTTGCACACACGTGGAGTGTGTGACTCCACACACTCCACGAGTGTGAGACTCTTACTGAGACTCTTAGTCTCAGGTATTCTTCTGAGTGTTTTATTTGATCTGTGCACCGGAAGCTTTAAGCGAGGTATTTAAAAACAATTCCTTGTAATTGTAACGATTAACAGTCAACCTCATGGTTGAAAACACTTTTATTTACAGAAATTAGTGTTGTAGTAATAAAGATATGCATCATATGTAAACATCACTGCTGAAGGGCATTTTTTTAATGTTGAACTTATTGATTAACCAAAAACATACCACCCCTGTTCGAATAAAGAGAGAGGGGAAAATAATTGTGATGATGTTTAGAAACCAGATGTGGGCTAGTAAATTATTTTGTAATGAGCTGAATCATTTCAAATCGCATCATGAATTGTATCGAATCAAAATCATTGTCAAATCATCAAGAAAATCATCATCACATGGAATCGTGTCGGCGGAGGATTTGACAACATCGTTAAGGTATCGTATTGCTGGTATCAAGATGCAAATCCAATCCCCTCAGTGGTGTGGGATTCACTTCCCTATTGGCTAAAAGGTGCTGGATCTCCATTTCCTTTTCCTTCTCTCACCCACTCCCTCACTGTTCATTTTTTATAAATAGAGCTAGAATCCTGTCTGCAGCCGCTGCAGTAAAGTGTGTTTATTTTTTCTCATTTGTTATGATTATGTTAAAAACCGGATATCTGTTTAAATTCCGATGCCGCATTAAGGTCACCAACTGGTGTAGCTGAGTATTGCACTTTGAGGTGTGCATGCTTTGAGCAGATGATTGATTGAGATACAAACACTGAAAACTCGAGCTGAAAAACAAACTAATGTCAAAATAAAATGTGAATAAATAAACATTACTGACTGCAGTTGCTGCTAGTTGCTGCTCTAATTATTGATTCCCTTTATTATTATCATTTCATTGTGCTTATTTCTTGATTCTGATTTTGCTCATCACTTATTTTTTCTTGCACCAATAGTACCGCAGCAATTTCCTAAAGTTGTGATTCGCACATATGGCAATAAGACCCTTCTGATTGTGATCATGTTTGGCAGAAAGGCACGCACGGTAGGCTTGTGTATTTATTGGAGTATATAGTCTAATGTATCTGTACATTTGATGACTGACTTTGTGAAACTGCTTATCTGGAGAAAGGAAATGGTTGATTTGGAATTGTAGTCATTTTCCAACTTTCCATTAGAATACTTATAATGGATTAAAAAGGTAAATCTTTTCACGCATCACAAATAATTATTTTCATCAGCTACCTTTTTCTTTTTTTCAACATTGTTTCTGTTGTTGTAGGCATGCTGTGATACTCTATCCCTGAAAAATGTCCTCAATTGGAGTAACAGGTTGTCACCAAGGCGGCGGTACGATGAGTCCCAGCACCAGTCCAGTTCAGAACCATAGTTTAATGGTCAGAAGCAGATATTCAGCTGCTTTGCTCTACCCATTGCATTTGTTGTGCACACAAATTATGCGTTGCATGAAAAGCTAAGACATGATCTCAGGATCATGAAAGATACATTTCTCATAAATGGTGCATTTAACTTGATTATACGGACCCAGTCTGCAGAAGGGCTAATGGAAGATAAGGCGTGGTGGGAATACGACCTGTTAGATGACTGTGTTTGTCTGAAATGTAAGCCTGCCAGGCTTTTTCACCAATGTTCTCACAGAGATAAATCCCTGTTGCACTTACTAGTCATCCATTTTTAATGCCACAGCCTCAGCTGGAGAAACACATGAAGACAGAAGTAAGGGCGATGCGGTGGTGTCATAATATATGCAAAGTAGAATCTGAAGCAATTACAGGGGTTGTTTTGCTGGTGCAGAGAGAGAGAGCAGACAGCAAGGCTATTCATAAACTAATGACAGCATTTCTCCATTCATTATTCTTCTACTTTGTGGGATATTTGTAGCAAGTTGCTGTTGAATCATGAGCTCTCACAGCTGCACAAATCTGACTTGTTCATAGAAAACAGCAGCAACGTTTCCTGTCTGCCTTTGAGCCCCATAATAATTCTGCTGCAGCCATTCCACAGATGGCAGGCGGAGAAAGCCAGGAGGGCCAGCTTTTCAATCCACTTCAGTGAAAACATGATCCGACCGAACAGAGGCATAAGCCAAGACATTCCTGTGTGGGCAGACCTCCCTAAACAACAACGAACAACTGCAGCTCTGTGTTTGTCTTCTTGAGAGGAGTCTTCTAAACGCGAGGGCAGCAGATCGGCCAGAGCTTGACCAGAAAGATAAAGTGAAGTTTCTTCTCTGTTGAACATGGCACACAGATTTGTCAGGAACACCAAATATGGCTCACAAAGCCACGTCTTTGTTTCTATGTTTCTAATCTCTCTCGCTTGATTTAATTAGCTTGCATACCGCAAAATCAGTTAGTAAAAGAGTAACCTGAGACTTTCGCACAACGTACAGTATGTGTTTAATAAAATCTCTGTCGAACACAAGCCACAAAAACACAAAGTTATAGCTCTGAATATTTGATACATTTTATTTCTCTAGTGAATTCATGTTATTCTGCACAGCAGCATACAGTAAAGTCTTGTAAAATATAAATAACAAAGTTCAACAGTGTTTTTCTCTTTTTCTCGTAATCATTTCATCAAAACCTCTGTTAAAAGTGGTGCCTGTTGTCAGCATTGGTTTTTTTTCAGTACCCACTCTTGCACACTCTCAATCCAATATTTGACATCTAATCTTTAAAAAGCGAGGGCATAATCACTATTTACAGATAATCACCTTTTGGTGAGCAACGCTTGTAGCTTCTGGAAATTCACTTCCATCATGTTAAATGCAACAGAATGAAAATAAGATTATGTTATACAAAGATCAAAAATACTATCAAAATCCTTATTATAAATGGCAGCACTACATCAATTAACTGTAGTTAACATTTTTACATATAAGTACAAAATCCCATTGAGGTAGTACCCTCTGAAGTCACTTGTAATGTTAAAATACAGAAAAAAATTCTTTTACAACAGCAAATCTTCCATTTTTCTTCAACACAGTTGTATTCCTTTGGTAAACAAAACTTTCAGACACATGCAGTCCTGCAAGTGACACTTTCAACCATACATTCACAACATGTTTGCATCTATTTTTGGGATTCTCCAGGTATTAAGTAACAGAATTGTTGTTGACTAACATTCATTTTGCTATTTTTCACCCTCACAAAGAGGGAAAGGTGGGTAGGACTCACTCCACTTCGTACTGCAGAGCAGATCTGCCTCTGTAGACTCTCTGGTGAACAAATCGTCAGGGCAGACCGAAACCAAACAACCTGACAAAAAATAAATCCAGTGTCACCCTTATTTTGGGAATGTAAACATAAGATATGTGTTTATTCTCATTTCTTAGTTTGGATGATTTTCTCATCAAAAGGAATTGGAACAAAGGTTTGGCAAAATAGATAAAAAAAAATAAACCAACAGAGGCCACATTGTTTTTTTTTTTCTTATTTCAAAGACCTTTCCTCTCATGCCTATGTCATGAGCAAGGTGTAAAATAGGTGGTGGTGTTTTCAGGCAGGCAGAAAGGATCAAACAGTTCCTTCCTCCAGTCAGACCCATACCAGTACTCTTAATGACACATTCTCATTCTTTAATGGCAAACATAACTTTGGTTTACTAAGACATGAAAGGAAATCGCAGCAAGCTTCACTCGCTGTACAAAAATACTTGGCAGAGATAGGCTGAGACATTCACCCCTTCTGATGTCAGTGTGTTTCCCTAGAAGACCAAAATATCTTTTTTAAAACGTATTCACACTTTATGATTATTGATACATGTGTGTGTTTATATGCACACTCTCAAATGACTACCAACTAGAAGGGAGAAAAAAACAAACGTATAAAGCATTAACTTATTCTATGTGGATAAAAGAACTATAAAAATATAAGAAATCTTATAGGAGAAAACAGACAAAATCAGTATGTTTATGAAACAAGAATAAAGGCTAGAGCCCAAATCAAAACAGTCCTCTTAAAATAGTTCAGTGCAATTCAGTTTTCCTTACAGTCTCCTGTTTTAGAAGATTTTCATCCTCTTACCGCCCACAGCCCTGCCCCCCTTTAATGGTCGCTGGGATGGCTGGTCTTTTGACAGTGGACAGTATTTTATTGTGTGGGCATTGTCCCCGTTGGCACTGCAGAGAGGGCAGGTATAAGCCCTCAGAATTGGACATACGACCCTGCCGTCCGGAGTTTTCAGGACGTGAGATCCGAACACCTCCTCCGGCGCTCCGTTATTTCGGCAGAAGACGCAGATTTTCGGCTCCTGTTTGCTCCTGGAAGCGGGTTTGCGCATCTTCCTCTCCATACCAAACAGATCGAACCCAGCGAAGCTCCCTCCAAAGCCCACCTCCCGCTCAGGCAGTTGACTCTGGAAGGGGCTAAGGATCGAGAAACGCTCCTTCAGGTCCAGGATGGAGGGCGGCGGGGGGCTCCCGGACGGGCAGCAGCAGTCCAGCTGTCCGCTCTCTCCAACGCCGCCCGCGATTACGCATGGACACTCCGGGGAGTCGTCCAAACCCAGAGTCGCTTTGAGGGACTCGGTGATGGAGTTGGGGTTCTGGGGCATGCTGAGTTGATTATTCTTAGTAACCAAAGTCGTCAGCCCGAGATAGTCGTTCCAGAAATTGAAAGTGTAGTCATACGGGTTGCGCGCATTCAAGTAGTTGTGATTGAGAAGATCCATGGCCACTCGTGGGCTTTGCTTGTCGTCAAAAACAGCCGGCGTAATCCGTTAGGTCTCAGCCAGAGTTCACATCCACGAGTGCGTCATGAACAGCGACGCGATCTCCAGTGTTCCTGTTTTTGTTTGACCTTCCTGCCAACAGGCTCTTATAAAGGGCCAGAGGGCGGGGCGCGCTGCCTCCAAACCCAAATTTCTGATCAGGACAGCTCCTTTTCTTCAAAGCCACATTCAGACGGGCTTGTTTTCCTGCGGGCTGGCGCTGTGGCCACATCCATCACGCTTCTGGCGTTTACTGATTCCCGCAGTCTCACATGGAAAGGTTTTTAATAGTTAATGGTTTCCCCAAATGAACAGAGAAAATATTTCGCTGACGAAGGCTGCTGTAGTTAATCATGGTGTTAATCATAACGAGCATGAATCTTTTACTTCTGGACAAACGTCGAGGTTCTGCGCCTTGAAACGAATCAATACAGCTGATCATTGTGCGTAAATACCACCAAGGCCAACTCTGGAGCCGCTTCTATATTAACTCCTGCTGTGCCAACAGGCACAAACCACTTTGTTCCAACAGGAGCCACATCCAGTATGCAAAAAAGTAATCCAAACATGTGTATAACTTAAATTAAAAACAAGAGCTACGTCCTGGTAATAACCACACAATCTTCATTTTTTTATGTTGAAGACATTACAGTCACCAAGTTTTCAGAACCATAAACTATACTTTCACATATGAACTGAATTACTTTCAAGTAAATGACTGAAATGTACCTAATTATAATTATTAGGTTTTGAACAGAAAAGATCATTAGAAATTATGAGTGGGTGTTTCCCAAGTTTAAAGGAATTCTCACTTACAAAAAAGAACACACACACACACACACACACACACACACACACACACACACACACACACACACACACACACACACACACACAACTTAAAATTCGCAAAACACAACAGTACACAAGGGCTGCAACCAACAGATCCGTCTTCAACAGGGGGCAGCATCATGCAGTTTCAGGTCAGACCATTAGAACTAAATAACCCTTCGCTCTGCTGTTCTTAGAGCACTCCTGAATGTGTTTCACCACATAAAGGTAAGGAAGAGGTTGAGAAGAAGCTAAAGCCACCATTATGTCCCACTAGAAGTCAGCAAAACACTTTAAAGAGAGTGAATGGGGTCGCATTAAACAAACTAATGAACTTTTGCCTCCACTGGATTCCAAACTCAAATTAATGCACATATTGACTATTATATTAAATAGTTTCATTTGGTCTGTGTGATAAACTACTTTACTTGATAAATGGCACAACAGCAGAAAGTCGCATGATACTCCAAGGAAGACTGAAGTATTCAGATGTCAGCATGTGGGACAACATCTCTAAAAACCACAACACTTGGTTTACTAAAAATAATAAGACTATTGTTAACAGGCATTAAACATTATGACTGGCTTATAACCTGTAGCTTACTACAACCTGAAAATACATCTCTGATTAGTGTCTCACTGACTGTTGGCAACCCATTAGTGACAATAAATGACATTAAAGTATGAAAATCATATATAAATAACACAAACTGCCTCATATAGCACTAGCAACTTTTGCTGGCCGGATCATGTGCAGTATGATCAAAATGCTAAGACATGTTAACAGTGATCTGAATTGTGTGCAGATGTCCTTGTAACATCAAAATGTTTTCAGTTTAAGTGTATTCTTATTTAGATTTCCACCCCGCAAAAAGCGTTTCACGTTTCCTTCTCTCACTGACTCATGGAAAGTACAGCAAAACAGGCCCAAGAGAAAATCTTTAGAGATGTTTAAGAATTCATGCAAAACTGAGGTCATGTAATCTATGCAAAAATACTGAAAACCATTTGTGAACAATTTGAGTCCTTCTGGAATCTTCCTCCTGCTGTCGATGTAACATCAGCTACCAACAGGCACAAACCAATTTTACTGGCTTTTGATGTTTTTGAGTCCGTGTGTGTGTGTGTGTGTGTGTGTGTGTCAGCCAAGCAAGCTCAAGAACATTTAGTTTACGGGTTTTTGAAAGCTGAGGTAGCACCCAGAGCAGACACAAGGCAGCCGTCCTGAACAGACCTCTTGCTGTGGGCATCTGATACTGTGATGAAGTGGGCATCTGAGGAATGTGGATGCGGCTCTCTTGAAACAACGATAGCACGAATGACTGGTGTTCTAATTAAAACTTGAAGGGGGGAGGCTGGAGGAATTCACTGACTCGGAAGGATCGCATCTTTTTCTACTGGAGATGATAAGAATGCACCACCTTTCAGCAAAGAGTGATAAAAACAGAGCACGCTCTACTGAGCTGCAATGTTTTAGAGACTATTTCTTACTATTCAGTTTGTTCAGCAACTTCAACTGAAATGATATTGACTTCTCACTCCATCACACTACTGGAAAATATGAATTTTATTATAAAGCATTAATAATGCATTTAATCACCAATTCTTTTTTCTGCAAGCCTGGAACCAGTGAGAGAGCAGCTTTCTGTGTTGCTGCAGTGAATCTAAAATATTTATGGCCACATTATCCCTTTACTTTGTTGTGACTAAGAGGAATTAATACTGTGCCATTAACTAAAGCTAATTCTGTTGCTGCCTCGAGGTCGCATGACTATATTTGACAAGGAAGTTAAATTAGCAGTGGAATGATGCATAACTTCAGCTGTATGGATATAAATTGATTTGGGACTGGCGGTGATGTCGTGCAAAAAGACTTTGCTTGAAGATACATTAACAAAAGCATAGGCTCTGAGGAAGAAAACTAATATTTTAGTAATCAGGTCATATTTTCTGCAGGGGTTCATTAATAAAGAGACAAAAAATATCTCTGCAATGCAAATGAACTCAAATAATCATTCTGCAAAATGTTAATGTCTGGTTTATGCAGTTTTTGCATGAGCTAATCTTTCACTAATGTTTCTAGTATTATAATTATCACAAAGATCCAGTAAGAAACAAAACAAGCATTTTTCTTTTTAGCAGCGTGGGCAGATTAGTCATCTTTAGGGAAAAAAACTAATTATTCTTATTTAATGTGATCATTTGAATACAAAATGCATTAAAACAAGACAAGACAATTTCTAGCTTAGGCATGTTTTAATAAAAATGCCCATAGAGTATGATATTTGTGTGAAATGTACTTAATTTGCTGGCTTAATAAAAGAAATAGTGGCCTTGAAAATGGATCATGTGAAGAAATTACAATGTCTTGCTAAAGGATACTTTAGTGGTGGACGTACCCTCCTACTTTAATAGTCCAGGCTTATGCACAACCAAATAGGCTCAGTAACCCCAACGCTCATGTTTACACAGCAAATTGATCACTGAAACAATATACAACAGCTTTGCAAGAATTGCTAAAAAGTCTTTTTTGCCATATTGATTGCTGTAATGAAGATGAATGCTGATTCTTTCACTTTGAAAACAGCTCATTCGTTTGCAACCTGCATTCCCTATACGTTGTCATAGTGGGGGAAATAAAAGCTCTAGGAACAGATTACCATGTGTTTTCATTCACAGCCATTAGAGCTCTGCTTGTGATTATGCAAATGAGAGCAAGCAGGAAATTTAATCAAACCGCAAATTTGATTTTATATGAAAGACTGCTGGAGGGCGGGGGCTCGATCACATAATATTGGGCAGCAGAATAGGTTTTGATTTGTCTTCTTTCAACTTGGACACAACACAGCTTTGTAGGTTTTAGGTTTTCCATGGTTTAAAAGCTTGAAGTCAACAGCGCTGCGTACGGTTTGATTACCCTTTGTTCTCCCCAGAGAGGCTGAATGGAAACTGTAGTTAATGGGAAGCATTTCCATATCAGCAGCAAAGCACAGCAGCTTGTGTTTTGCATTTTATTGTTGGTCCAACCCCCTGAACCAAGTATCTTAGTGCTCACTTTTCTTTTGTTCCACAGCTGAACCGCAAGAAAATGGGTTCTTGTATAATTGCACATAAAGTCAAATGATGTCATTGTGTTATGTGCGCCATTGCAGATAACTGGTGATTAAGTTGAGCATTCAGTACTTGGTTTAACCCTAACTCAAGTCCTTGGATTAAAAGAAAGTAACGTCCGTTCTTAAAAAACTGAATTCATTTATTCATCTTGTGGCCCAGCATAATTACGGAGATGGTGGTGTTGCCACACAACAACCAGTTTCATTTTTTTAAAGCCCAGGAGCCAAACAATATTATGAGCCCTCATTCCTTTATTCTGCTAGAATGTTTCTGCCCCCTTTATAAAAATGAAGTTCAGGCTCTTCCACTGCTGAATAGTTTAAGAAGAAGCAGTTCTGATGTACTTTCACTGGAACCTGACCTTGCACCAAAGACTGATGTAGGTTAGAGGAAATGTCCTTCACATAAGTGTCTGAATGTGGTGGTCATGCTTGAACCAGAGTGTATACAAGGCTCTCCAGTGATCTGAAGTCCCTTTCACAACTTTAGCTCAAACTTGTGTCCTTCAGTTTGTTCAAGGCACAGGCAGACTTTCTGATTCATCTTAGCTGCACCCAGTAAATATTGTGTTATCCCATTTTGCAGGGCCAAAAACATTCAGTGGTCTAGAATCTGTTTCAAAGTTACTGCAGGAAAAAGTTTAGAGGCAAGTATGGTATGCTGCCAACTTCACCTCAAAGAATCTCCAATATTCAAAATCAGAACTGCCTAGTTTATTTCTGCATTGACATTTCAGTGAATTTGATTCATATTCCAAACTTGTGCTTCATATTTTATAATCGCATCAAATAAACCACTCAGTAAAGTGATATTCTCATACCAAGCCATCTTTGCATCTGCTGAGTCAATAAGGTTCTTTTACATCCCTCCACTTTCACTACCAAAAACCTTTTCTAATGAGATTTGTTATGTCAGGCTATTGGATAAGAGTTCAGATTTAAACATTTGGTTTAATTTGTGAAACTTGATTTGTCAGCTTTAAAACCACTTTTACCCATTCACTACATAGATGCCCCTAGGCTTGTTGTATAAAACCATTTCTTCCAACAGAGGAATGTACAGACTTTCCCTAAAACATAAATGCAGCTGCAACAGTTTTAGTGTACGAGTCAGTTAAAATATTTATTTTCCTACACCAACGTCAGACAGTTACAGGTGATGACCTAAACATCCCAACAGTCCATTAGTGGTTTGATGGAATTATCATATCTCCAAAAACACAGTCCTCCTCCAAGCCAAGATTGTACAAATATCCACTTCCACCTTTAAAAGCACTGGTGACAATTCTGGCCCAACCCTTCTCACCCTGGAAAAAAATAAATAAATAAAAGCACTTATAAAAAATAAAGTTATAAACACACACACACACACACACTTTAAGCCAAATCAAAGGACTCACCCATGGCTCACCCCAGGAATTACGCACAATCCAATATTCTGTGCCATTTTCAACTCCCCAGCCTGCCACTGACACGATGTGGTTAATGGAGGGAATCTCGACATACTCCGAGAACAAACCTCCGGTGTACTCAGCCAGTTTCTCAGTGGACATGATTCCACAGCTGAAGGACAGTTGATGCAATTTAACTCACATTTACATTCCTGCAGAGACATGTTTCTCCCCACTCCACTTAAATACCTGATTGGTCCTCCTGCATAGATCTCTGCCATCATGTTAATCCTCCCACTAATGGCTCCAAAGTCACCCACCTTCCATAATGTGTAGTTCTGCACAGCGTGGCACCCCCCAGAAATAGTGCAAGTGCCACACTTATTGAAAGGGTAGCATTCTAGAATAGAAAGTCAACGATATTAGTCAACACGATGAATGTGCTGATGATTCAGATTTTACCTTGGTCAACTGCCTGGTAGTTGTTACAAGTCTCATCGGGAATCCCATAATTGTGGGCATACTCCCACACCCCTGCATGGTCTCCTCCATGACAGGTGCCAGACTTCGAGCAGTCGATCACATGTTGGACCGACAAATAAGCAGATGGCCACTTTCCTCTTCGCTTGACGTTGATGCGATCTAACAATGGCATGAACTATTTCAGCAAACGTCACGTAGACTTTCATTTTTTCCTCTTAAAATAAAAATGAGCAAAATAGGTCAAGCAAACACTTCATTACTCTTGAAAAAAACATCTCACCAGCCATCGCACTGGTGCTACCAAATGCCCAGCAGGAGCCACAGAACTGAGGGATGTGTTGGTTCCGAGTCGTACTCGCATAGTTGATGCCGTTTACATCCCTCCAGTCCCAGGACTTTGGCAACTGAGCAAGATTCAAGAAGTCATGAGGACGAGGCGCTGTTCTGAAGACATGTTTTACGGAAAATTGGTTAACGGAGACACTGCTGCTATGCAACCTCACATTATATAATCCACGAAGGTCACTGCATCAAGGCAGGGGGAAAATGTTTTATGATCATAAATCTGAGTTCAGACTTTTAAACAAGGCCTTTAACGTTTAGTTTCACTTGATCATTTAACAGAAATGACTTCCAGCAAGGAGGACATAGAATGTGCCCCTCAAGGCTTTTTGTGTTTTATAAAGTGACTTTTACTGGAAGAAAACTTATATTTTACTTCAACTTTTAAAATAACTAGATTTGAAGTGTGGAAATTGACTGTAGAGCAAACAAAAAAGTTACCAAATCGTTATAAAAACTTACTTGACTCCAAAATTAGGTTTTCTTGGCACAGGCTGATAACATCCAGGCTCACCGCTAAAATACCATTTTGCTGCAGCAAAATGGGCAATTAGCAAAGCTGTTAACAGGACTAGCTGGGCCATGCTGACCCAGCGAACACAATAACACGCAATGGTGGAGATCCAATGCTGTCAGACAGAGCTGTTATGTTTGTGGGCTAATCAGGCTCAACTTAGCACACCTGGGAGTAGCTCTGAGGATGTTCAGGTAGTGGTAGGCGCACAGCACATGCCAGGTAGTCGTCTCATAATGTTTGAAGGCTGCCTTTCTGAAGCCTCATTTACACAGAGTGCTGATGCAGATCAGAGTCCCTGTGAATTGAACCCAATCAGAGCTGTTACACCGGCTGCAGCTGCAGACTTTCTGCGTGGCTTCTAATTTTTCCAGATGGTGCATGCACATCATCATGAAGTTGGAGAAATCACCTGAGCCAGACAGGAAGTGAGACATGTGCCAGTGAGGTGCATCCTGATCATTTCAAAATAAAACCAGTGTTGCATCATTTTGTCGGCTTCTTGTATTATTAAAGACAGTAAGATAAGACGAGAAGATGAATGTGGCTTTGCTGTACCAGCTCCTCTTGTGGTTGCTATCATGTTAACTTGCCTGGACTCATTAGCAACTTCTTTGGGATGTTTTGCACATGATCTGCAGTTGGTGTAAATGGCAGGCATTCTTCACTTGAAGTAAACAAAGTGTAATACAGCCAGAAAATAACACAAGTGAAACATTGACAAGTTTGGATCCAAACCAGAACTGGAGGGATAAAAAGATGAACAGGACAGATGTGATGTATGCCACAGAAACTGCACATTTCTGTCAGTCTAAATATTTCTGAGTCTCATTTTGCTATGGGTGAGATAATTCTGACCTAATGTGGGACAAAATGACTTCAGCTTAGCCTAAATTAGAGGATATTGATCCATGAAATCAGCTCTGATTGAGACTGGAGCTGATGATGTATGCAGTCACGATCATTAGCAGTGTGAGTTTACTATAATTTAGCATACTGCTCCAAATGTTAAAAAAAGACTAATTCTAATTCATTTCAGTGAACTGATTGTTGACAGAAACTCATCATTATGTTGCCTTTTTCTGCACGTCATTTTGTCTTTCTGCTTATGCTCTAACTGCCTCCCTGTGACAACAAAGACTTTATCAGGCTTCTCTGTGAGGCTGCAAACAGAGCATTATACTAATTGACTGCCTGCCATCTTCTCCCGTCTGCAGGAATAGAAAGTCATATTTAATGCGTTGATTAAAATCTAATCCCTCCATGTGAGTCGGAGATGAAAGTCATTTTCATGTAATGGAGACTATTAATATTTAGATTTAAAAAGGAAACCAGATCTCAGATTTCCTATCAACTGGAGGATGATAACAGTTTTTTTAAGCTGTCAGTGGGCTAGAAAATAAAATATGCAATGCAAATTAGCATAGTTTTCTTTTCACGTTCCATTCAACTTTTACATATATGTTTTGGAAATATTCTTTTGGACAAAATTCTACATATTTTTGTATTCAAATGATTTTATGCTGTATAAAGTGTGCCAAAATGTCACTTTTGTTGTGTTTTATGTGCATCTACTGTAGTCATTTAATGATAACATGATTTCAATAATGCTGTTGGTCTGACAGCCGAAGGGAACAAATCATTTCTGCATTTGAATTTGTGGGAACTTTGAAATATAACAAAAGGTTCAATAGTTGTAGAAACCAGCAGTCCCAAATCAACCATGTTAGATGGGTTAATTTTCTCATTCTTGATTTAGCTGATGTATTAAACCAAAATAATGTGTCAAATCTGATAGGTTCCTACATTTTCATCCATCTATCTGTCAGAAAGATTTGGAGGAACATTTAAAAAAGTGAATATCAGAAATTCAGTTTTATGACATATTTTGACACTATTCAATGAAAATATCAGAATCAAGTAGAAACTATACCAACAAATCACAAAACTGAACAACACATTGCGAAACACAAAAACATTTGAGAATCACACAAATTAAGAATCACAAATGACACATAGCTGTTCCTAGATTTTCTTGTTTTTTTTACTTTGGGTTAACAAGCCCCCATTTTTATGAGCTTGAATCACAAAGAGCTCCAAGTTCCTAAACACCACATCAGATCTAAGGTAATCGATGGCTCGTTCACTGACATGATGTGAGACACCTCTGTGATTAGCATCATTAGCTGTCCCTGTGAGCGTGTCCCATTTCTCATTAATGTCAGCACTATCATGGAGCTTGCAAGCCAGGTAATGAATTTCTGTGAGCTTCTGCTTGAACTGTTGTGTGTGTGTTTGTGTGTCTGTGAGAAGTACACAACATGTTTGTTTGCTGATGTGTGTGGAACTTTGAGGTCAGTTAGCTTTTGCTGGCATTTCCTCAGGATGACATTCCACCCCACATGTTCTCCACTCACCTGTCAACTGTTTCGAAGGACTGAATGTCAGATCACTCAACAGTTCACTTAAAACATCACTCACAGGCAGCTTCTTCTTCTTTTACATAATCAGGACAACTTACTAAGATCGGTGCTTCAAATTTAAGGAATACATATAGATACAATAAATTTGGTATGTATTTTATAGTACGTTTTGGTTTAAACCCATCTAATTTCAGCTTGAATTGTCTAAAGCATGCCAAAAAAGTAAAAGAAGAAAAAATCTAAATAGAGGTAATTTACTGTGTTTTATCGTCATTTTATTTATTTATTTTTTCAAATCTGCTAAAGTTTATACACATCTGGCTTTTTTCACTGGGCTGTAATTGTTAGAGACAAATCATGAACAGCTTTTCAAAATGCCTTGAAATATTAGCATTTCCCAGAAATCTTTGAGTGGATTGCACAGCCTTGCTCTCTTGTGCGTCACTTGAGATTTGAACATGCTAATAACACACCGTTTTAAACTATATTTTTGAAAGTCATTGCAAATGTCTGGAACTGTGTTCAACTATACAGGGAGTCAAAAAATACAAGAAATGTGAGACAACTTTGGGAGGGGTTGGTGACTGTTGAAACTAGGTCTACCTTTCAAGTTTCTTTGTAGAGATCTGTAAAGGAATATAGATGCCACACATTTTAGAATGTGCACATCAATTTTATAATATTTGTACAGTTCCAGGCAAATAAATGATGTTGTCTGATTAGAGAACTTGTCTGAGTCATTGTTTGCATTTGAAAACATGGTCTTCCTGCTTCATCTGGTGCAGAATTGATCCTCCTCCCACAATCCAATGGCAAAAAAGAGATGAAATGTGAAATAAAGTGGTCACTCTGATAAACTCCACACATGTATACGAACTAGGACCACAAGCATGAACGTGGCCTTGACCAATAATCAGATTTATGCTGTTAAAAATGAGTGAGAAATTAGTGAAAAATGGGAAAAAAAATTAGATTTAGGCAGTTTTCAGCCTGTTTCAGCAAAGAACATTTAGATGGAGGAAAAATTTGCTTCAGACGGCAGAATTTGGACTCTTATTTTCTGATATTTGAGCATATCACCTCTGATTAGCTAACAGTAATGCAACCCTGCCACTGACTGTTTGCTTTGCAACGTTGGTTTTGTCTCCACAAATAACACATGCCTGGAGGAGTTCTGCTGTGTGGTGGAGTTGCTAATACTAACGGTTAGCTTCTGCTGTTTCCTGGATGGTAAGCCAACATCTGCCTTCTCCATAACGCAACAAAATGGGTGAGTCCATGAATGTTAGGTGACAAAGTCCATGAATGTTAGATGACAGTGTAGAGCTGTCAAGCTTTTCATATGCTAGAGTTTCACCGTCTATTTTAGCGAATGCAGCAAATTGGTGCATAAGTAAACTTTGTTTCTCAGTGAAAGACCTCTTCAAAACCAAAAATAAAAATAAATAAAAAATGCTCACAATTCTGTGTCTCAGATGGGATGGTTACGTTTCAGTTTGGACAAATGAGAAAATGGACAAGGAACACAAGCTGTGGATCTATCAGATCTAAGGTATCTGGCATTCTTTCCAAGTCTGGATACTCCAAGTTCATCCTGGAGTTCATCTTTGTTGTTTTGCTCTCGTCCAATAAGGACGTTAGAAGTAGCTCAGGCTAGCATTAGTAGTAACTCAGGCTAGCATTGCAGTAGTTTGGGCTAGCATAAGTGATAGTTTTGGCTAGTGTTAGCAACAGATCAAGCTGAAGTTGTTCTTCGATTAGCATACCCTGCTGATAAAATATGTGTTACCAGCATATGTTGTGATTTGATGCTGGTTTAGCTGGCAGACCAGCATTCAATGGTGGTCAATTATGCTGGTCCAGGATGGGATGCTAGTCTAGTAGGCTGGTCCATTTACTCTGTTGTTCACGTGTGCGTGTGCGAGTGTGTGAGTGTCTGGGTGATTGTATGTTCACCTTGGAAACTGGTTGCGGGAGGGGAACCGTAATTGTCAATTGTTTTATACTTGGGGAGGGGGGCTGGGATGGGAATATGGGATCTATGGGGCCATTTTAATCTGTGAAGCACTTTGAGTTGCATTTTTTTGTATGAAAAGTGCTATATAAATAAAGTTGATTTGATTTGATTTGATCACCCACATACCACACCTGGACCAGCATACCAGCACCAAAACACAACATATGCTGGTAAACTATGCTGGTCTATGATGTTTTTTATCAGCAGGGTACCATGACCAATGCCATTGTTGTAGTGAGTTGGGACAAGCAGGTTTTAAGGTGGTGTGTCTAACCATGTCACACATTGACCCAACTTTTCTCAGAACAAACTATTTATTAAGGGCCATTACAATGTTACTGATTCACACAAGAAAACTGATCACAAATGGTACAGACCTATACAGACCTGGGCTGCATGCGTGGGGCAGTTGTTAGCACTGTTGCCTCGCAGCAAGAAGGTTGTAAGCTCAAAACTCGGCTGCGGCCTTTCTGCGTGGAGTTGCGTGTTCTCCCCATGCATGTGTGGGTTGCCTCTGGGTACTCCGGTTTACCCCACGTATCACAACATGCCCTATAGGTTAACAAGTGTACATCGCTTTGGATAAAAGTGTCTGCCAAATAAATAAACATAAAAATAAACATATATAGACAATACCCCAAGCTGCTTTAATTCAACAACACAGTAAATGTGGTTTTAAATTCTAGGACCACTTTAAAACAGTCAAACCACACCATGAGGTTCTACCCTTCCTAGAACAAGACTGTGAAACCAGGCATCAGTGAAAACTGAATTTTACATAATCAGTTTTTAGATGCATGTGTCTTTGTTGCAAGCCTCAAATTAGAAGTATTTTAACAAATGTAGCATGAATATAATCTGTGAAACAATTTATGAGCTGAACTGTCACAAAACAACACATAATTGTCTCATTTAA